TCTATGGTAAAAAAATCAGAGCCAAATTGGAAATAAAGCCTAGGACAGAATCAGGAAAGTTTGCCTGTACTCTGGCAAAAGATTTGCTCAAAGACTTGAAAGCTCCTAGCTGGGCTTTTCCTGCAGAGTTCTTAAGATTTTTCCCTCTAGAAAAAGAATGAAATGTTGGTACAAAACAGTTTGCATTTTGCAGCATATTAATGTACTGATTTTCTCAAGTGGAGAGAGGAGGAGGAAAACTTACTGCGGAGGAACAGCCAATGTCCTGAGAATAACCTGAAATGCCAACTTAGCATTTTTGCACTTCAAAAATGTCTTTGACTTTTATAAACAGGCATGATGGTAAAATTGAGGCTGTTAAAAATACATGGTTTACTTTGGTAGTTTATAATTCACAGTGGCATTTAGTGGGTGGAGTTGTAAATTAGTAAGTGGACTGCTGCCACAGCATAGTAGGCTGCTGCCCTGCAAGAGAATCTTTGCTAAGAATAGGTATGTGGTCATGGTGATAATGAACAAGGGCTCGGCACGCCTGAAACACTGATGGGAGATTTGGAGATGGTTACTGGATGTGCAACAGCTGCTCTAGACATTAAATGTTATAAAAGATTTTTTGAAAGATTGAACTGGATGAAAAGCAAGCAAAGCTTATCTGGTAAGACTTGGTTTCAATAGCGAGTGGCAACACCAAAAGGAAGAGTGGCATATGAAATACTTATGTTGTCAATAAATTGGAAGGTACAGTTTTAGAGATGATGAAATGCAAGATTGCAGCAGAGTCTCTACACATAAAAACATCCTTTACTCCATTGTTTTTAAATGAAGTAGATTAATCTGCCATAAAAGTAACACATCAATCAGGTATTTGATCCAGTCTGTCAGACACTCAAACAAAAAAGGACTGCTTATAAGTTACTTCCTGGAAACCATATTAGTGTTCTCAATAAAACCAGAATTTTAAAGACACTAGATTTCTCTGAGTGGGAATGATTTACTTGTCACTAGGATGATATTCCTTTGGACTGCTCATAGCTGTAAAGCCTTATCCAAAGGTTGCAAGCCAACAGCATTAAACGAAGAATCCCCAGTGAAAGGTGCAGATACCTGTGGATGGCATAATAAAACACGCTCCACCTTCAAACATTTGGAAGAGTGACATCTGCTATATGATTACTGTTCAGCCATAAAGACACAATATTCTGAACCCAAATGCATATCAGGGTGACCTGTGTGACCGCAATAAATTCATGTTATTTCCTGCTTAAGTTCCTCACCAGTGGACATCAACATAGTGCTCTCACTTCACTGTCCTTAAGCAACATGCCTCAGCTATGTCAGCCTTAAAACGATCCACAGGAAGCTTTTGTTGAAAAAGCAAAAAGAAATCTGTATTAAATCATTGTATTAAATCACGCCCCACACGACCCTTTCCTGTGGGGCCCTGTGGTGATCCCTGTTTGTGCTGGCCAGCTCTGGGCCTCCCAGCGCGGGAAGGGCCATGCACAGACCTTATGCTGCTAAACAGTGGAGGAAGCCAGGTCACTTTTCCTGTAGGAAAATCACCGACAAAGTGATTTTGTCACAAAAAGTCTATTATCTGGCTCTTTTCCGAGGCAGCATGCTGGACACAATTCTAGCAGAGTACATTTTGAGCTGCATGGTAACAGTCCCCTCTTAAATTTTTCAGCGAAATCCAGGTGTCAGTTTCATTCACTGTTACAATAAATAAAAGGCCTAGTCAAAATAAATCTCATGCTAGTAATATCACACTCAACTGAGGACTCATCTGTAGGGAGCTCAATGATCACTACATCTCTTCTATAAAGATATTCCTTAAGGAGTCAGGTATCCAGAGGGAAATTATGGCGTTTCTCTTCTCTTTCTGGAAAGATTCCATCTTACAACAGGATTTATAGCAGCTTTTGTGCCATAGATAGGAAACAGGTAAAGTTCTTCGATCAACCTTAAGCCACTAATAATAAGCTACTTGTTAGACAGGATTAAAGGGGGTAGGACCCCAAGTAGCCCTGAGACTTTTCCTTTATTCTGTGTTCCCATACATTAACAAATCTAAAGGATATGACAATGATCTTCTACTTCAAATCCTTTCTTTCTCAAAACCACCAAGAAACAAGGCACTGTTGTGTTACTCTCCATTTTATCACAGATAAGGAATTGCAGGAGTAGGGAATTCAGGTAAACTCTAAGGCCTGCCAATTTCAGGACTCTACATGCTCACAATTTAACCTAATTAAACCTCTGAAATTCTGACTGAATACAGAAATTCACTGGCTACAGATATTGGGAGAAAATAGTAAAACTGTATGTGGCTTTGGTTTGATTTACAAAAAGAACACTGGTACCAGTTCAGCCATGGGCTCTCATGCACCTTGGATCATACCTTGAGTCACCTTTTGTGAAGAATTTCCACAAAAATCTTAACAAAACCATAAAATTCAACAATATATACAATGCATAACATCAGACTATGTACCTCAGTAAGTCTACGGTAAAAATGTCTTCTTATTAGGAAATCTTCTAAATACAGTGGGATAGAGAATACTAGTGTTTTCAGCTTATTTTTGTTACTCTTCTGTTCTTACCCAGCTTAAATCTCAAAATCTTTACTAAGCCAGCTCATCATTGAAAGCATGGTCAAACTTCTACACAGAACCTCTGACTCCTACTGCTTTTCTGGCCAAGGACACTCTGAGCAGCAGAAGAGAAACCTTTCTGCTTGCTAAGGGTGCTGAGAATGAATGTTACTGGACTGAAAACATAATCACAAAGTATGTGCAGGACAGACCAGTAACTGTTGTTTAGGTAGTTTTTCTGTACATATATGCAGCAGTAAGATGTTTCATCTGACTGTGTTTGAAAACTGCAGCAGCATATTAAGCACTTAGAGGCGCAAATGCTAAATCACAACCTCATCTGAAAAAAAGCCAAGAGGTGAGGTGCTGGTTAACAGCATCATGAGGAAAGGCTTCTAAAATCATCTAGAGATGAAAACTCCCAGGAAAGCAAGCATAAGGAATCTGTTTCTTCCTAGAAAACTGGGTTTATTAAAATCCACAGCAACTCCTGTCTCTAAATAAGCTAACAAAACTTTAAATGGAAATAACATGATCAGCTAACACCAGTTCCTAACTGCAACTGGGAAAAAATAAGCAATCTTTTTCTAGCATAAAAAAAATAAATCAGTAATGGAGAGCCATAAAAACATCACCATGATTTTTTAAGAGAATTCTAAGACTTCAAAGATCAAGAATGTATATTCTAGTGCTTGAATATGAAGAAAAAGAGAGAAAGTCTAGATTCATACAATGGAAATGATGGGTTGAGCTGAAAAATTACAGATTTCTAATTTTATAAGCTAAATCATCATATATACTTTGACATATCTTAAATTATTGTTTGTAGACATTCAGAGGTAAAGAGGTACCTGAAGCTGCCAGCAACTTTAATAATTCCAGATCTATTTCTTGCAAATGACATAGGGAAAAAAAAAAATCTAATTCCTGGACAGCAAAAGATAGGCTGAAATCAATCAAGTTACTGTACATCTTTGTATCATTTATCAATGAAAGTGTAAAATTTCCATTATGACCTTTTAAAAACCAGACATAGATTCAACATAATTTCTGAAATCTTTCCTTCATACATGATGACTTTCAAAAGGTTTTGATATTTTGTAAGTAGCACAGGCAGAACTAAATTAATAAAATATGGTTGTAAGTGTGTGTGTAAAAAACCTCAAAATATGTCAGAAATATTTTCTACTAGCATAAGTCACATATAATTTTATTTTTTTAAAGTGCACACAAGCAGATCTTTATGGCACATTAGAATTTGTTAGGATGGGTAAGCATTTGGAAAAAAAATTAAAAATAACATCAACATTCCACACATTATAAATAGCAATTAAATACTACATTTAACAAACAGGTATAATCTGTGTGTGAAATAACTTATGTATTCAGTTAAAAAATATATATTAAATACATATTCTAAATTACATATATTTAACTTATCTAAATGAACTATTCAAAAACGTATCACAGTTCTATAAGGATGTATTTGTAAAACAGTAACTTTTTCAGTCAGAATTGTTTTTTGTATTAACCCTGTATCAGCTGAATATTTACGTGTATAACCTGAGGCATAGGTCAGTCTTTCTCACTCCATTGCACAGCAGCCCTTGTACTCAAGCACAGATAAATACCTCAACTGGAGCTGTGTCGCTGCTTAAATGATACCTATTTCTGAAATACTTTCCTACTCATATTTGTAAAATATGACTATGGTATACTCCTTATCATAATAAGATGAAGAGGCTGGATGGGACAGCCTTGTGGCAGCAATTACTTCGTGCAGTGCAGTAGCCTGTGCTGTGCTGGTGCTAAGCTACAGGGAAAAGACAGGAAGGGAACCTAATGCTCTCTACATTTTTGCCTGTCTTAATAGGATAGATATCATTATCTTGGGCAACTAGTTAACTATGGTAACAGAAGTATAATGACTGATAAAGGTTATATAATTAGTAATAATTAAAATGTGCAGATTACTATGCAACCAGTCCATGGGTGTCCTCTTCCCCCATGGGAACTGAAAGGTAATCTGTGATCATCTGCATTTACCATGGACTAAAAGGACACTGGTAAGATTTTACAGCACAGGACCTAACACACAACAAATTCACAGATCAATTTACCATTCTGTGTGCACACCCCGCACTTACGCACCTGTCACTGCTGCCTTTTCACTTCTGGTCCATCAATAATACAATTTTCCATATGTGACCAGCCAGTAGGATAAACAGTAATGATTAACTTGCTTTTCCCTGCCCACAACTGAAGTTTTCTTAGGGAACAACCAATAGTATAGTACTCAGTCCTGCAAAATACTCTAAGACTTTAACAGCTTTGCCTCCAACAGGAGGTAGCCAAATCTGAAAAAGTTTCTTCATTACTAAAATAAATTAAATTAAATTAAATAATTCAGCCAAACATTGTTACGTATGAAGCTTTCAAAAACCGCACATAATTCTGGATGCTCTGGTTCTTGTTCTCTGACTTCTGTAGGCTGTTCTCCAGCTCTTTCAAATGTACTTCATGGTGCCTTTCATTCTAAAGAAAAAAAGGGAAATGCAATGAAACTTAGAAGTAAAATACAAATTAATCAAAATAACAATGTAAGACAACTAGTAGCTAATTTTTATAAGCCTTATTTACCATAAAAGTTTTCAGAGGCTCCACAAAACTGAAGGTTCCCAAAAAGACCTCAAAATATTGAAGCTTTATTTCAGTCAGGACCAAACTGAGCATGTTTGATTGAATGCTGGATTGAATAAGAGATATAAACTCAATATTATTCCATAGATTTAGTAAAATAGACTGGGCATCTGCTAAGTCTATTAGAAATGTCAATATACAAAGTATATTGTCAAGTTGAATTAATTTGCTGATGCCCAAAGTATGTATCAATTGTATTAAAAGTGGCATTTTTAGTAAAAGGAACTTTATGTAAATGGTGCTGTGATAATCAGTTTCTTAAGTCATAAACAGTATTATTTACTTACATGGTGAAATAGGCAGAGGAGTTGTTTTTTTTCTTCTTGCCTCTCTCTCACTTCAGTTTCAAGAACTAGCATTTTTTCCTGGAGGGCTTGTTCTTTGTATGACATTTTTTTCAGTTCTTTAGCTACCTGTAACAGTAATGAGAGAGAAATGATGTATATTTAATTTCGTCTAAAGCCCAAACCAAATTATTTACTTATATCTTAGCATTAATAGCTCCATTTCCTATTCTGTCATTTAATACTTCAGCTATTCCCCACACAGAGAAACTAAACAAACCTGGGAAATATTCTGGCTAAAATTGAAAGACGTTTCAATTTGGAAAAAACTGTCATGTTATTGAGAAAGAGATACTTTTGTAACTCATTTGTAAGTTTACCCAAACATTATTTTTTCAAAACCAAACCAATATCCTCAGACACTATTGAGAAAATTAAACTAATACAATTCACTGCAATCTAAATTTCTACGTCCTCTGACATTTTATTTACTGTTTGCATCCTTTCTACAAATAACAAGTCTCTGCTTAATACTGAAAGCATACAAAGCCTTCCTCTAAAGTGAGAAGGATTTCAACACCAAAGTTCTTGTGCGTTACCTATTCCAATGAAAATAAGAAAAAGGAAAAATTAAGTTTTTGTTCAGAACCTTTTTGCCTTATGTGTAGGATTTCAATATTAGGTGGTCAAAGCATTTTGATTTGTCAGCAAAAAAATAATGGTGAAATTGTGGTCCACTGAACTTTGTCATTAATTTTAACGAGATCTGAATTCCACAAGGAAGTTGAATTGTGCAATCCATATTTAAATATGCAGAATTCCCAGTAATTTCTTAGTGTTTCTCCCTGCACACAAAATAACCTTGTCTCAGCTTTTCTTCTCAAGCACATTTGGTTTTAATGCAATTTTTAAATAGAAAATGGCAAACAAGATTAAGAGATGTATTAAATCATCAATACCATTTTTCTCCCTTCTTCCACAGCAGATTCCAGTTGTCTGGTTAATCCATTATATTCTGCGATTTTCTCCTCAAGCTGCAATTTACTGCACTGAAGACTCTCATCTTCTTTTTTGAGCTGACAAGCAAGTTCTTCATTTTGAAATTCCATCTTTTCTAATTGCCTTTATGCAAAACAGAATAATACATTATAATTCACTACAGCAGAAAAATGTAGAAATTAACTGCAGTCACTTTTTTAAAAAGTTACCTTTTGAGGTCTTCATATTTCTTCCGAATGTTATGGTTTTCTTCTGCTAAGGAATGACTGCCCACAAAAGTTACACTGTCTTCCTCCTGTGAAAACGACAATTCATTTCTAGTTGAAGAGAACTATATACACAGGATATTACAGAGCTTGCCTATTAAAATCCAATCAACCAATTTAACTGTAATTTCAGGTAAATGCTATATTATATTCAAGTATTATCTTGTATTTAAAGCAAATAAAATACAGCCAACATAGCAGACTGCAAACCTGCTATGTAACAAAGTGAAGTCCTAACAAAACCCATATGCTGCTCATCCAGCCTTGTGCATTAGGAGTTGGCCAGGTCTACCTCCTTGTGAACTGAAGCTTTAGATTCCAGCAAAAATAAATTCCCAAGAGCACTAGTGAGACTATCGCCCTTACTCCCACCCATCAACTGCAGATTAGCAATAAATAGCCACATCACCAGCCTGCTGGCACCACTATTTAAGGGGTAACCTCTATCATTCACAGGACTACCTGAAGCAGTTCCTTCCAGTAATTCAAGATAATCTGGCTGATTTTGCTGTAATGTGAATTACAGGCTGTTCAGCTAGCAGACTGGGAGTAGCAGAAAACTCCAGCAGACAGGCAGCAAACTGATGTCCCAGCCCACCTGAACCTAGAAGAGGGTTTCTGCACATGGTCCAGTTACTTCAAAAGGAATTTTCCTAAATTGGGATCATAAGATCGAGGGTCAGAATCTCTAAAAGATGTTACCAAGATTTAATGCTGAAATTTAACTGCTGTTCCACTAGACTAGTGATTACATTCCCAATTACTTCACTATACTTAAGAGTTTTTTTGCATTTATTCAGGAAAACATGTAGTTAAATTAAAATTACATACAACATTTTATATATGCACCTCAAAATTAATTGTTGCTTAAGTACTTTGCTAAGCAAAGAAGGATTTATGAGTTTATGAGCACTCCTGGAAGGAGTATTTAAAGAAAAAACAAGAACAAAATTTGATGCTATAAAGATCATCTTGACAAGAAATTTAAATCAAAACCAAGAGCTATTTTTTTTATAAGAATATAAAGTCTATAGGGACACAGAGGCTCACTACGTTTCAGCTGAAGTTTTCCCACTGACACAGGAAGATTAAGCCCCTTTCCCACCCTACCGATTCAAACAAACACCTTTGTCATTTGTGCTAACAGACTATTCTCTTCTAACTCAAAAGCACATAAAAGAGAAAAAAAGAACACCAAAAAATCCAGACTTGGCCCTCCCATTGAAACTGATGTCACAGACAAAAAAAAAAAAAGAGGAATATTCATATTCAGGCTTAAGAGAAAATAAAAGCAGTAGTGCCAAAATACTGCTAAAAATAGAAGTGATCCTATTAAAGTATATTTTTAAATTTATTTTATGAGCCAATCTGATGTAATCATTAAAATGTTAAAGAAGTTATACAACACTAACAATATAATTTATGATTATTTTTCTGATCAAATATTTTCTGATTTATCAGTTAGTCATCAAAAACAAAATGAATGCAGAATTAAATTATTCTACTATATACAAACAATAAATAGACTTGCACATTTATTTCCAGGAAAGAATACTGCAACACATCTCAGGACCTAAGTATTCAAAAGGATCAAGACTATACTCACTTAAAAGATACAGAATCTAAAAGTAAATATAAGTAACTAGTCTTGTCACATACTGAAATCACGTGAATACAGTTGGTGATAGTGTTATTTGCATTGTGCTATTTCTACAGAAGGAGGTTTTGATTTATGAAGCAAATAATAAAGGAAACCGCACAACTGTCACACATGCTAATAGGAAAAAAATGTTCCAGAGACTTTCTTTCACATAATTTTCTCATTTATCTTTAAAAATCACCATGTTCTAAGCACCTGAACCTGCAACTCCCTAAGGGTTTTGCATTTCTGTGCATGGATCCTTTCCCAGGACATAAGCTTTTCCTGATACCCTTGCTGCTTTTCCTCAGCTGCTTTCGGCAAGTCACCAACATGTTCTAACTTCTTTAAATCAGACTTTGTTTTGTCCCTCACCTGCATCATAGCATCAGAGGAGAAAAATGTAACTGTAAAACCATAAATTAATTGTTGTAATATACCTAATGGCTTTCCATGTAAGTCATAAATCTGAAATGCTACACAAGTTGCACAATGTCACCTATTTTATAAAATACTGACAAATCTACAAGTTCATCATTGGAGAAATTTCTGTCTCTGACCACATTTCATTACAGACTCAGTAACATTCACAATGAACATTTACAATTTTATGCAAGTGTTAGCAATCGTGCATTACCCAAATTTTGATATATTTTGGAAGATGGCATGCAGACAAACTAAGCAGCTTACAGGAAAAATTCTGACCATACAACTATTGCATTATTTGAAAAAAGGGCAACACCTAATGCCACCTGAAGCCACATACAATGCTGTGAAAACATTATTTAGGGGATCAGAAAATATTTTTCTCCATTCTACAATTGAATAATTGAAAAATAAAGTTAGCATAAAATAAAATTAACATCTGAGATGCTTTTCTGGGAGGACTAATTCTGTTCCGTAAAACAGAACATTGCAGACAATGCAAAACCTGTTCCTGCCTCAGCTTCATTGCTTAGAAGAATGTGTATTTTGATGAGCAGAGGAACTGAGGAAAGCTATTCTGCTACCAATTTTGTATTGTTTTTTGATGCTTAAGAATGTGCTGTGTTTCAGTATTCAGCTCCACCGTAAAACTCATCTCTGTATTGATTCTGTTTTAACTGCTAGTTAAAACAAACACACTGCAAAGCAGTCTTACAGTAAGTTTGCTTCCCTATGCAACTTTCACCGCTGTTCTGTTGAGAGGTGTAGTTTTAAAATCATGCTTTTAGAAGTCATAAAATGAATTCCTGAATTCTAAAACAGCACTACTCTAGGAAACATTTCTCACCTGTTTGCAACTGTGTACTATCCAAAAAACCCACCTGCTCACAAGTAAGAGTTAGTAAAACACTCAATGAATTCAAAAACAATTTTATAGATGGAAAAAGAAAAAAGAAGAGCCAGTACCTTGTGACTTCTAGTAAGTGGATCACAACAATGTAGTGACTGTCAATGTCCTACAGAATTCTTTGGAAACATGCGTTATGACTGCAAAACCTACCTTATCTACTTCTGAGCATTTGTTTTCTGTTATTCTTTTGTTTTCATTTAAGACTGTTTCACATCTGGATTTCAATTCTTCTACTGCTGTTTGTAATTTTCGTACCTAGGACACAATAAATTTTTAACATTTTCAAGGTGCTTCTTTCAAATATAGAAAAGAGACTCAGTACTATAAAGCATAAAGTAAACCCTTTGATTTCTAAATAGAATCTCAGTATTTGTCATTATATGAAGTTACTGATTTTCATTATCCCACTCCCTACAGCAAATATAAGAGGTAACCAGGTAAAGAGGACTCCATTATCAACATTTCATTTTCAACCATGGAGAATGAGCTACATTTGTGCCACAGAAGCAGCCAGTATGAACCACCCTTCTTTTCCCAGATAACAAGTATCATCAAAAACAGTTCCCATCTGCAATCACCACAGCTACAGGCTAGGGAATGTCATTCTAGTCACTGCTTAAGTTTGGCTGTTCCCTGGAACTGCATCTTCCATTTTAAAGCTGGCAACACTTTAAATGTGGTGATGTGTCCCACAGACAAGGCACACTGGTTGTACTTAAGGGTTAGCATCAAGTCTTCCCTCTTGTCAATGACTTTTTTTTAAAAAAAGGTAAGTGAAGTCTGTCAGTGAAATGGTATCTACACTATAGTAGAAATATATACAACTTTGAATTAATGTTATAAAATTCCATCTGGAGAGAGTCCAGTGGAGGCCACAAAGATGATGAGGGACCTGGAGGATCTGCCTTATGAGAGCTGGGACTCTTCAGCCTGGAGAAGAAAGGACTGAGAGGGGATCTTATCAATGTCTATAAATATCTGAAATGTGAGGGTCAAATGAATGGGGCCGGGCTCTTTTTGGTGGTGCCCAGTGACAGGACAAGGGGCAACGGGCAAAATCTGGAACACTGGAAATTCCACACAAACTTAAGGAAAAACTTCTTTACAGTGAGGGTGTCAGAGCACTGGGACAGGCTGCCCAGAGATGGTGTGGAGTCTCCTTCTCTGGGGGTGTTCAAAACCTGCCTGGACGCTTTCCTGTGTAACCTGGTGTAGGGGACCTGCTTTGGCAGGGGGGTGGACTGTAGGGAACCTGCTTTGGCGGGAGGGTTGGACTAGATGATCTCCTGAGGTCCCTTCCAACCCCCACCATTCTGTGATTCTCTGTGAGTAAAGCCAAATATAAAAAAGGAACAGAGATAAAAAGCCCATTTTAAGTCTGATCTATATGTTTTGCTGGTATTTTCAATGTGGACCTACCAATGTAAATAAAAAAAACTTTTTACAACAGTACTTGAGTGCTTTTTTACTGTTCTTAGGAATGTGGAAATAAAGATATGACCAAGGAGATGTCAAATATAATTGGATATGATCACTAAAGACATCAGACCCAAGTTTTACTTTTTAAATATAGTTTACTGGGTTGCCAACTTGCTTTTTGGGAAGTAAATCTTTTCTAAGCAAGTATGTAATTGGCTCTGTTGGCTTCAATGAGCTTCAACTGGGCTTCACATACTTCAGTAAGGATTACATGTACCAGTAATAGTACGGAGACTATTCTTGGATACGGTTTGTAATGGTGCCCTCTTCTATCATCCTCAATGTTACAACAGTATTGCAGTCAACATGACAATCTGTTTTATTACAAATAAAACTTTTATAATTTCCTCAAAACTGCTTAAAAAGTCAAAACTCATAACTTGAACATTTCAAATACGCAAGTCACCTGATTTTTATACTGTTCAACAAGGTTTTCCTGCAGCTTTGCCTTTTCTTGCAGATTTAGCAGTTCATTTTCAACAGAAACAATACTGGTTTCCAATGTAGCAAGGGAAGCCTTGAAAATATGGAAAATATAAAAATTGTACTGTTATTAAAATAACACAATCTACAATATGACATTACTAGCAAGTGACCTGCATACATTAAAAGAGTGACACAATTATTTACCCTGTCAAACAAAAATGATAGCCCACAGTTCATTTGTCAGCTCAACAGAATATTTACTTTGGAGGATAAATACAATACAAAAATTCCTAGATTTGCCATAGATTTCCACTGATAAATTTTCAATGTCTCATTTTCACTTACTGTAAAAAATGGATGGCAGAATTTATTCTACAGGTTTGGGATCTCCAGACAGAAGGCCAAAAGGGAATTAATATGGTTACTTTATTAATGTATCAGAAATGCAGAGCCATTCAATATTGAATTAAAATAATCTCACCTTTAATTTTTCATTTTCAAGGTAAATCTTTTCATTTTCAGAGTTAACAGAATTTAGCTTTCCAAGAATTTCCTCATCTGAGTTTTTTCTGCATTCTTCCTTTCTTTTCAGGTCTTCCAAAAGGCTTGTGATCTGCCTTGTTATACAGGCAAGAACATCTATATCATATATAATGCTTCCAAAACTTTCACTATGCAAATTAAATTGTACCTTAATACATACTCCTTCCTTGTTCTTATTTTATTTAAAAAAAAAAAAAAAAGAAGAGAGATTGCATTTAAGCATCCCAAGAAAGCAGTATCTGTTGAAATAAAAAACTTTCCAAAAGAGATGTGGTCCACCAAGGAAGAGGTCCTAGCCCAATCATAAATAAATGAATTACCTAGAACACCAAAGCATACTTCTAAGTCAATGATGCATAAACATACTGTACAAAATGGAATTATATTGAATTGACAAAGTCTACCAGATAAAGTCCTACTAAGAACATTCCATAGCTAATTTAGGAATGGTACTTTCCATTATTAAAAGCAACAAATTGTGCTATATGCCTCACCATTTGCTTTTCATATTAATATGTTAAACAACAAAATTAGTTTTGCTGTTTACTTAATCATACACTGCCTAGTAGAACAAGTTTTGTTAGAATGGTACATTTCAAGCAAAGACTTATATTTTCTGCTAAAATAAAATCAGCAAAAAAACAGCTGAAAGCAGAAAGAGTATTTCAGGGAACTATCATAGATGTTTCCCTTTTCTTATTCTTTCCTAGATGCCTCCTCATATACACTGAGCCAACAGTGGACTAGACAGATTTCTGGACTGATGTCATGTACCTGAATTCCTGTTAAATTTTAAAACCTGCAAAAAATATTTTCAGAATTGTCAGATTTTCTGAAAAAAAAACCAAAACCAAAAAACTCCCCAAAGTCAAGCCAATTTAATTTGAGCTGTTACGTATTTGAGCATGAATCAAGTTCTTTGTAAAATAAACATTCTGTCTTAGACTTAGCATAAAGGCACCTACCAATTTCTTTTTTTTGTTTGAATTATAGTCCATATTTCTACTGACAGAAAAGGTAAAAGGATATTTGTCACTGTCTGCCGAAGAAAATGGCATATCCTTCATGTGCATTGAGTTGACTGCATAGTTTCAATTAAGTTGGACAATTTTGTGTTGCTTTTCCTTACAAGAATAAATTGTTTAAACACACATCTGAGAGGAACTGCTCTATCCTCTAGTGGGGTGAGACACTAGTGGAACTGAAATAATTTTGCTTTCATTAGTCTCAAGTAGAAACTAGAAGCCAAAGTAAGAACCTTCTTCTATATTGCAGTAGTCACAAGAGTTAACACTCAAGCTGTTTAATCAGTTACTCAATACATAGTTCTGAGGAAGTAGCATGGTAGCTACCAGCAAGTTCAGGCTAATCTAAAGTATGCAGGGAAAAGAACATGCTCCTTACATGTATGGGGGAATTAAGTTTTTTTTAAAATTGTGAAATGCAGCAGAGAGAAGGCTACAAATCTTATTTTTTTTCTAGTTTCCAACTTCTAAATTCTGCTCAGAATTTTAAAATATGAATAAATAAACTTGTTTACATTGTCAGCCTGAGTACTACACTACTAAATATCAAGACTCTGTGACTACACACACCAAAAAAAAAATAGATCAACAGTTTAACTTACTTCTTAAGATCTTCTGTTTGAATTTCTAACGTTGTATTTCCTTCAACCATTCTATCATGCTGTTTTTTCCAGACATCGGAAGCTGACAGTATCTCAGACAGTTTGACTTCCTAGAGAACACAGGAATTACAGATTATGTAATGCAACTGGGCTATTTAATACAAGATAGCTTAGATCTCCCTAGTACAAAACAATGTAAAGTTAAGGTCTAAGTGCAGACTTACGTTCAAGGCAGAGACACAGTAAAACATTGGCACTGTATACCAACTGTAGAGTACAACAATATTTCAAAATTTAAGAAGAAAATATTTTCTTACAACAAAAATATGTCTCCAATACATCTCTACAACATATAAATTATATAAATCAATACAAAAACAAAAATTTGCCAAAACATTTTAAGAATAAAAAATAATAGCTAGGTAAGAAATGCAAAGTTAAGTAAAGTCCCTTGAAGTATGGATAATTAACCAACACATGCTATCTTGAAAGTACACCAGATCTTCAATGGGGAAAGAAAAGTGTGAGCACAAAACATCAAAAGTTCAAGAGTTAGCTGCCATCCCTCTGTACTGCTAAGTGTACTTAAAGCTCCCCTACTGTCTTCTCACAAAGACCAAAGAAAACAAAAAAACATTATTAACCATCTCCTAGTATACTAACTGGAAAAATACATCTTTAATACTGACATATCAAAAATGATGGCAACACATCTAAGAGAATGAAAACATACTCTTATTAAGAAATCTAAATAAGGCAATAAAGATCTCAGAACAGTTCTGCTCCACCTGGCCTTTTTGAACAATTACACACGGTAGGGATATGTGAGGCAAGAATCTAAGGAACAATTTGGATTAGGGAAGTTTTGTACATGGATTTTGAAAAGGTTCAGAGCAAGCAGCTTAGAAATAGAAAGCTAAGTATTCACATGAGATGTCATACACTGATAAATAAAGCAAACAAAGACTTCAAACCCCAATACAGTTAGTATACTGTGCTTTTGAGATTAGTCAGTGTCCATAAAGGTCTAACAGGAAGATCAGGAAAGGTGTAACTGAAAGCTGATCAGACTCCTCTTACTACAGTTTGAAGTGTACTTAGTACTAAGTGTCATGGCTTAAGACATTCACTAACTTTTAACAAAACAAAGGCAGTGAATGTAGTAACAGTTTGCATGTCACTTACAGCAACCTTTCCCTTAACTAAGGAGCAAAAAAATAGAGAGATACAAACACAGCTTGACCAACCAGCTTTTCCTGTTTTCTACAGGTGAAAGTCTCCCAATTGTTCAGTTTAAAACAATACAGCACGACATTGCTCACAGTATAGTCACTCACACGTTCTCTTATTCTGGAGGTTAAATTTTCCACAGCTGCTTCAAAGCGTTCAGCTCTTTGTTTCTGGGACTTGATTGCTTTTTTCAGAGCAGTCTTCTTTTGCTCACTTGTTTCCCTTAAGGCTAACATCTGGTGCTTGTATTCACCAACTTGAAGTTTCCACTCTGCTATTTTCTTTTCTAGAGTCTGCAGTATAATTAAACATCAACTCTTTTCAAATTCTACACCTTACAGACCATTTTGTGACATAACATAATCAGGACTGGCAATTACATTTTATAATCTATTTCCATAACGTCTTTGTATCTCAAATCTTGTGTTTGACACAAAGAGCTAATCAAGGTATAAAGAGCAGTTAGGCAAGAGAAAATACATGTTGGGAAACTCATTATAAAGATAATCAAGAGAAGAGGTTGAGGAGGTGCAGAAGCAGGCAGGAGTAGGGGGAAAGACAGCAATCTAACCATTGTATTGTGCTCTTGGAAATGGATGCAGAATTGCAATGCAGAAGATATGACATGAAAGTTAAACCCATTTATAAGGAGGAAAAGAAAAGGGGTTTCATCATCCCTAGTGACTGATTTCTGTAAAAAATGTCACCTTAATGATGCTACTAGTGATATTCACTGATGTAGTAGTAGTCTGTGCTCTGAATCTGTAGTGAGAACACACATAACTAGGCCTGGAGATCAGCATAACTGTTTAAGAAATTTGAATATGAAAGTTAAGATCTTGGATTTGGGCTTTTTAAGTCAAGAAGCTAGGAAAGGCCAGGGTCTTTTCTTGAATTATGATATGATCGTCTGTGATTAGATGATACATTATTTTCTTGCAAGATCTCTGGCTTTTTCCCATGCATATAATAGGCCCACTCTATTAATGAAACATAGTTTTTTAGTACAGAAACTATTTTTTAGGGAAAGTTATACCTTGTGTTCAGTGGATAGTGAAGCAGAAAATGCAAAAAGAAAAGATTAAGCACTACCTTGCCCACAGAAAATTGTTTAAAGATAATTAAAACAGGCTATGATAAAGCTTAAACCACAGTAGTACATTACACATTGTAAGGACAACAAATAACTATAACATCCTGAGTGCCTGATTTGCATTACGCATTACATGTATTTTAGTGCATTTAACTATATTATCAAATGTGTACAATGCAATCGAGACAAGAGCTGGGTTCTACAACTATATTTTCTTTTCTATTGCTGTTAATATTTCTGACTAACTAGATTTCTACCTCACCCTGATGAAGGAAGTGTAATGATCCCATCCAATCCCATCCAAACCTCTAACTTAGACTTTTGTATTTTTCATCTACATATCACTTGTTATTTAAATATGAATGGAAAAAGGGAGCAGACATTAGGACACTACATGATGACATACAATAAAAGCAGTATCAGACTCTGCTTCAAGGAGAATCTCAGATGCGATTACTTTTAAGGTGCTACAGTTTATCAAAAACATGACCAAGCTACCAGTTGACAAGTACTTTCATGAAAACAAGCGCAAGTTCCATCCATATCACTTACTATTCTTCTGCCAAACTACAGCAATGTCAGTAGGCCAGCAGTGTACATAAATTTGTCTCAAGTCACTGATAAATCTCCTAATTGTAAGAATGATTAATGCGTTTGTTGCCTACACAAGTCTAGGTCTGACACTTAATTATGTTCTACATTGATAAGGACCAGAATAACATGCCATTTACCTACTGATTACATTAACGTGGCAGCCTTATTCAAGATACTATTTGCCAGTTGTTATAAAAATATGCATATTCTGCATATCTCTCACTATAGGTCCTGCTATTGGACCCAAAGTTTATCCATAATCAATGCAAACTGTATGTGGTTTTCCAAGTGAAAGATGGTCTCAGGTACTACAGCCCACCAAAAAGGAAAATACTACTTCAAAAAATGAAATTATAAAACCCCTTAAATATGAAGGAAGCAGTTTTCATATACAGATGTTCATAGGGCATTTAACAAAGATGTGATTTGGAGGGGTCAGCTAGAGAATACCTTCAATAAACAGAGCAAATAGAAAATCTCAGTCTATATAGACTTCTTTAACTGTTGGAATAAGTAAACTGTTATCCCTTGTTATTACCACAGGAGGTCACAATCACACCAAGAGTAAGTGCTGTGGCCATTATTCAATGACTCAGGTAAATCTAAATCGATAATTAATTTCATAAGGGTAATGCTAAGCTGTCACAAGCTTTTGTCCAGATATTGAACAAAATCATCACCAGGATTTAAGCTAGCAACTGACTTCATCACTTTTTGAAGAGTGAACAAACAAAACTTTTAAATGAAAATACAGTTGTATATCAAGTTACTTTATCAAAGTATCACTTAATTAAAATGTTGTTGTAATTCTAATAATTGTACTAGGTAGAAAAATAAATCAATTTTTATTCAGAAGAAAACATGAGGTATTTATACAGACAGACATCTGTGACTTTTTTTGAAATTGAGTTGCTAAAGGTTCCCTAACAACTTAAAATTATACAATTCGTAGGAGATGTATGCTTCTAAGAAAAGTCTGGAAATCAGAAATACATTATTTTTCAGCTAATATTTTCTCATTCATGCCTATGTTCTTGAAAAATTTCAAACAATAAAATCTGAGGCCACATACAGCTCCAGCCTCTGACATATGACCTCTTCCTTGCCTTGTTCTAAAGCCAGTAACTGCTGCAAATGCTCAAATTTACCTCTTGCTCTTTAGAAGAGAAAACAGAAATCATTTCACCTACCTTAAACAAAGGGAGGTTAGGTATTAGTGTTAAGTGTTTCTCTTTCAGTCAGTATTAAGAGGTTTATTGATTCCTTCAGTCAATAAAAAGAAACAGGTGGTGATTCATCACTCTTATCTTACAACAGGAACTCATCCTGGGGACTTGCCTATCTCTTTCTATTGACTCTATGGAGACTACCTCAGGATCGATACCTGTCTCCTAGATCGCACAGTTAGACGAATGCAAGTGCTTCTATGTGTGCTTCACTTCTCTTCAGCAGAACTGCCAGTATGCACAAATTGAGAAAAGAATTAAAAAAGAACTTGCAATTAGGATAGTGTGGTCAGGCAGACCGTGCTAATGATTTTTACAGCTTGGGATTTTTTTTTTTTACCAAGAGTTTGATTTCAAGTGATGCTTTAAGATTTAACTCTCACGTCTGAGTTAAACTGTGACCACATTAAGGCTTTGCTAATTTTTTGAAATAAACTGAAACACAAGTAAAAATTTATTGACCTGTATTTTCACTTTTAATTCATCATTTTCCACTTCTTTTCTTTGAATCTGACATTGTAGGTGAGCTTGTACTGCCTTTACTGATCTTGACAGGTGGTCTTCTTTCTGTACATTGACCTAATAAAGAGAAATAAACACAAATCTATTGGTCTGTGGAGATGTGCTGTATGATGCTATCTATACGATTTCTACTTTGCCTTACACTTTCTAATTGACGTTTGAATGTCCTCAAAAGCTGGAAAAGATAAAACATGCTCTACAAGTGTATTCACAAGCAGCAACTTGTTACTAACGCTATTAATGTTAAACAGAAACCACAAACTTGAAAGTATGTATGTATAATTGATGTCTCATATTTAGTCTGACTCTTTAAGTAGTATGAACAAGGCCTGGAAGCACAAACTTAAAAATCCAGGCTGAGCAAAAGCAGCTAACTAGTGGGTTGACCAAAACTAAGCCACACTGATCAGCTCTGTCCTGACTAATTAGACCTGAACTGATCTTCATCAAATACCAAAGACCACCACCTCCTATTAGCAGTATTGACACACTTAACTCCAACTCTAATTTTAGGGGGGATACATAAAGCATAAGGGAAGAGGCAACTTATGTCACCAGAACTGAGGTCAGATGACTCTACGAAATTTCTTGCAACTTGATTCCTTTGGCTCGTTCTAAATAAGAAATAATGAAAACAGGTAGAAAGAAGTCATATTATCAGTGTAGAGTAGAAGAGCATTGTAACGCACCAGTGCAAGTGTTCATTACAGATGACAGCAAGAAAGGCAGATGCAGACTCAGTCAGGTATTGATGAAAATGCCATTTACTGGAGATAACTTAAGAAGGAACAAGGAGATAACATAGATAATGATTTATCCTTTCAGATGCTGGGCACCCCAAGTTGTTCAGCATTAGACAGATCTCTAGTCAGGCAACAGCACACTGCACAGATCCCATCAATGCTGAGGTTTACTGGCACTGTAGTCTTCAGAATCTTTATAGGCTTTTCTGTTAAGCTTTTCTACTCTCAAGTAAAAAGCTGCTTCTATGAAAACATGCGTCTTCACTTCAAGATAAAGACAAGGACATGCCAATTGCCAGGTGTGAAAGCGGGCACCCTCACAGACTCTATTACAAATAGTTGACTAAGTTTATCCTGCAGCCAAGTGATATGTTCTCTTGGTTAAGCAAAGCAAAATTCTTAAAGAAGAACCATGGCTCTCAACAAACCCCAAGGAGTTACAAAAGTCAAAGTACACCACTGTGCCCTTAAAGATTTAACTGAGCCTACTCTGTCACTCACTAATGCCGAACCACGGTGCATTGCATACACATAAAGTGCACGTTAGGTATACAAGTCCCGTAATACAGATTGCTAAACCACCAATAAAATAATTTTGAAACTTTTGTAGTACCTTCTTATACAGGACAGACATTTCTCCTCTTCCTATGTTGGTTTCTGCACTGAGCCCCTTTCTTTTGTTCAAAGAATGAATGAGGGCTTGTCAGCTTTTGATGATATTAGCTCTGCTCTCAGTACTACCTTTCCC